TTTTTTATTGGGAATTTCGTCACCTTCTTGTTGTTGTGTTAATACCTCAAAGCTAAGTAAGTCACTCACTCAAGCGTTTGTTTGTATAAAACTACAAAATTCTTATAAAAAGTAAAAAAACCAACCTCAGCCAGCGATTAGTCACTATTTAGTCACTTGCTGCTGCCGCTTATTAATGGCAAAATGTTAAAATCGTTTGAAAACAGTGTTACGGGGGGTAATCAACAGCAATTACCAAATTTGTAAAGTTGTTAATAAAAAAGTAAATGTTGTCTTTTTAATTCTCTGGTTAAACAAGTTAATAACACTACATTTAGCATTTTTTTTTATAATTTTAGATCGTTTTTATTTATAATTTGCAAAAATAAAAAAACATTTTATAATTCTAATGCTTAGCTGAACTTGCAAAAAATTGGGGGTGTTAAAGATTTATATATGGAAGGTTTTTAAAACGATTTTGAATTTTTATTAGCAAATCGAAGGAAAGTGAATTATAAAAATTAATCAACATGACCTAATTTGTGTACTGCTTATATAAATTAAAACGTGGTTTTTCGTAAATATTTAAAATTATTAATTGAAAAATACTGGGTGTTAAGAAAAGGAAACTAATTAATAATAATTCTAAAGTGTTCAGTGTAGTAAAGTTTTCAATGCTTGAAATTTAAAATTTTAATTATTATTTTCCATAAATTATTGTAATATTTTTCTATTGAATTTTCTTTTAACACTAAATCGTAAAAATATATTTTCGTCTGGAAATGAATGTCAATGTTCTGCAGAATATTCAAATAAATGCAAATACATAAATATGAAATGGATTTAAAAAACAGATACTGGCCTAAAAAGAGTTACCTAAAAGCCTAACTATTATTTTTTTATTCGAAAAATTAAAATTATTTTATATAAAATATTTCAAACTTGATTTTATGGAGAAAAGTGGATTTACTTTTTCAAACAAAAATTAATAAAAATTCTAGTAAAAAAATAAAAAGTGTCAATTGGCAACTCTTTTCAACTTTGCCAACATTTAGTAACTTAAACATGAATAATATTTACATCTGAGATTGTTTTATTCTTTTTTGTTCGTTTTGTAATATTTTTTGATTTATGTACATTTACATGAAAAACTTTTTCTCTATTTTTGTTTTACATGTGCAAAATTTAACCCTTGTTTGTATTATTTTTGCACACAAAAATGGAAATGAGGATTATTTACATGTATGAATGTGCCAAAGTTGGTGCTTTTGGTTGGTGTTTGTCTGTAGGAAGCCTCAAGATATTATTTACCTTTTACCCACACCTGTCGAAAATTCTTGAAAAACATCATGAACAGGAACATAGAATATACAATATTGTACAATGTAGATGAAACAGATACAAAATGCATACAAAACTTTTTCTAGAACACGATGATGATGATTTTTAATTGTAGTAACAGTTTTTTTTTTGGTTAGGAAGACAATCTTTCTCTTAAAGATGTGTAATTTTGTACAATGTATGTTTTGACAATATTTTGTCATGGTTTAGTTACAACAATACAAAAACGTTTTGTTAAATATGCTATAAAAATTTGTTTCTATGTATTTTATGTTTTTGAAAACATAAAATAAGGCTGATGATTATTTGTTAACAATAAAATAAACTGGTTCTTAGCAATAAGTACTCTAATTGGGTTTTGATTTCAGTAAAATTTCACTTTTTCATTTTGACACATTTACTAAAACATTTATATTGTTAGAAAACAAATTTTTGTTTTTTCAAATATAAGAAAGTTTATTTGAAACAGTCACAGTTAAAGTTTCTTTATATTTCATAATTTTCATTTCTTCAACATCTGATAACTAAATTTAATTAAATTTATTACTTATATTTAAGGACTATTTTTTGAGGGTCAATATTTCCTGCAACATTTAATCTTATTATCTAAGGGCTTTACAAAATGACGGGCAATATTTTCTAATAAAACTTTGAAGGGAAATTCTTAAAAAGAAATTAATTTGTCTGTAATTTAAGTTTGATTAACCAAAAACAAATTCTAGCACTATGGCATACAGAAACAAAGAAAAATATCCCCTTGTTTTCGTATTTAATTTGTGATGAGTCATGAAACAGTAAACCAGTAGACAGTAAAGAAATTAACTTCCTTTTTTTGTCACTTTCTCTTTTGGTCGTTGTTGTTTTACAGTCTGACTGCTATCATTTATCACAGTCTATTTATAGGGCTTAACAATTTTTTTTTGTTTATTTGACTTTTAACAGGGGGGGCTAAGAACTTTATGTCCTTTTGTCATCTTTAATACGTTAGGACAGTATTGATATTAAATGCTTGGTGGTGTTACCAACAACACAAATTTGAATTTAATTTTATCCGCCACCCCTGTCTACATATTGAAATTAAACAAATTGGTTTTAATTTTATTGGAAATTCCTGACTTTGAAAATTAGAGACTTTAACACATTTTGACAAATTTCACGTTATTGTTGTATATTTTTATTATAGATGATTGAGAAATTTAAATAAATTTAAAATAATGATTTTTATAGCTGTTAAAAACCTTAAATTTCATGCTTTTAAGTTTGTCAGTTTTTTTTAAATACATTTTGAAAGTAACGACAAATAACGTTATAAAGGTGTTTAAAAGCACCAACATGTTTGGTTAAATGTTTAATTTATGAAAAAACGTGTATCTTTAAAAAAATACTCATAAAATACAAAATATTTTGAAAATTCAAATTATTTTATTAAACTCTTGATCTACATAGTTGGTGTGTTTTTTTATTTTATGTGCATTAATACATACACACGTACATATGTATGTAGTAAAGAAATCAAATTGAATTTAATTTAAATTAATGTTGTTTATTTCTTTATAATGATGCTTAGAAGCATCTACTAAAACTTTTTATTAAATAATAAAAAAATCTGCATTATATGAGTATTTGTTAAAATTTCTAAGATTGAATGCAAAATTAATGATGTTTTTCATTTCCATTCAATTCCTCTCTTTCTCTGCATACTTTGAAATAGGCTGGTTGTTGTCTGAACAGCAACAAAAAAAAAACTAATAAAAAAAATTACATTTTTTATGAATTCAAAACTTGGCCGTCTACTGGCAACACAAAGAACTAATAAAATGCAAAAAAAGAAAACTCAAACATTTTTGTAGTTTTTGGCATAGAAACAAAATTGAAAAAAGTAACCCAATAAACAGAAATCGAGATGAAATTACTATTAAATATAAATATTAAAGGTGAAATTCATAATTTAGTACATTTTGCTATAAACATGTTTGGTATACAAATTACTTCCATTTATCAGTTTATTAATAAAGAATGCAACGCAATAGAGGTTTATAATAATTTAAACAAATGATTTCATGCATAAACAACAACAACAACTTAATTTGCATTTGCGTCTTGTTTTTTTTTTATCTCATTGTATTTATGGTAGGAGTATTTGGCATCTCTTAGTCAGTCACCTGAAATACTTAAAAGTGGCACAATTTGAAGCAGAAACAAACTGTTGACAATTTAATTTCAAATCGACACCATTTAGTCTAACAAATTTAAATGTTTAAACATCAATTAGTAGCAAAGTATTTCATAGGTAGAAATATTTCATTGCGAATGTTGAAACTTGAAATTTGAATACAAAGGCGAAGAAATCAAATTGTTTACATTTAAAGTTGATTGTGAGCAGAAATACAGAACTGTTTGCGGATTTTGTTTTAGTCTCATTAAAGTGTGACAAATTGTATAGATTTTGCAAAAAAAAAAAAGAAACAAATTGAAAAACTAAAAATTTAAATGAATGGTAAATGTTTACATTTTCAAAACTCTACATTCACTTCAAACACATTTGTAACCATTTGAATTTAATTTGAACACACAAATAAAAAGCTAAATACATTTTTGCTCTATAAGCAGAAAATAGCAAAAAAAAAAAAAAAAACTAAAGCCAACAATGAAAATCATGAAAGAATGGTTCATCAACTTGTACTATGCAGAAGAGAATGTGGTGGAAGGAGTTATTATTGTTATCGTTGAAATTGTTAAACGTTTCCACAAAATTCATTTTGTCTTTATCTCCCTTTCCCCTCTTCACTCGGCAGTAATTTAAGGTGAAATTGTTTTATTTTTTAAAGCCATCCATCCATCCATCTATCTATCCACCCACATTTGTAGTGTTTGTGTATTTATAGGATTGTTGCAACTAAGGTTCTCTTTGCCAAGTAGGTGCCATGCTGCATATCCAAGTTTGCATATAAATATGGTCTCGTACATGTATAATTTAAGTTCCGTATTTGCATGTTTAGTGCAGTGGGTTTGCTATTTTCAACGTTCAGCATTCAGTCAGTCACTCTGCTAGTGCTAGTGATGGTTACGTGACAAATGCTTCTAGTGTCTACTATGAAATTGTAGCAATTGTTGTCGATATACTAGTCACTAGAACAGCACTCTCTGTTGTGATTGTACACACTTTGTGTGTTAGAAAATGTTTGCAGTTTATTTAATTGCATTTAATTTGTTGTTGTTGATGTTGATGCCAAAAAGATTGACTCGGTGCACGTACGTTATTGTACACAACATGGCCAAATAGGTAGAGAGGAGTTAGTGGTAGTAGTTGGTTTTCATTTTCCATTTTTCTTCTTTTTTTTTTTTTTGCTGGAATTTAACACGAAAATTGCAAACAAGCATGACGTTAAAACTCAGGCACATAATCTGACAGCCACAAATAGACAGGCACAAAAACGGCCGATACGTTCACATGTATCTATAGTGTTTGTGGAAAACCATTATGTTGTATTTTGGCGCCTGGCAAACTGACAGATGTTTTACGTTCATTAGACGCACCAACACCATCGAAAGCAATTCACTCTATGCATTTATTGTTTCAAACCATTTAAAGTCAATAACTCAATATAATTCTTCGTTTCTAAACTTAAAGAGTTTTGTTCGAAAAATGTAATAATTTCTCTTTCTTTCTTTCCTTGCAGGCACATCACCGCAACTCAAATGATGAACGTGTACCCAACCCACATTCACCTCATGACATCAACGCTAGTAATAACATGCACATTGTCACACCTCATAGTTTGCAGCATTCTGCTTCACGCTCTACCATGAGACATTCCATGTCGAATTCCTCTAGTAGCACACCCGCTTCTCCTCAACTCAGTGGCATCATCACTGCCAGCGGTGGTCAACTGCTATCGAACGGTCATCACTATCAATCACAATCGTCGTCACAATCTTCAATAATCTCAACGATACCAGCATCGCAGCGAGTGCTGGAAGAGGTCCTGGGCAAGGGTGCGCCTTATCCCATGATTTGTCTGCCTTCGTCTGGCTATTGGGTAGATGGTACCGATCATGAGTGCACCTATGATTCAAGGGGCAACCCCATGTTGCCTCAAACCACCTGGATGGCTAAATTCGAAACAGACGACACAGCTAAATGTTATCGTCGGTTTTACGCTGCCCGAGAACACTCCAATTTAGTGGGCTATGATGAACAATTGGGCCCAGTCTTGATCTCTATTAAAACAGAAAATGTGGCCAATCAGGAGCACATACGTATCTTGTTGCGTCTGCGAACTGGCACTATGCACGAATTGATCCCTGTATCGTGTTTAGGCCCCACACCCAGTCCCAACAAAATGGTACGTTTATTAAACGACCAAATCAATGTCGACAGTTTTATGCCCGTTCTCTGCCCCAAGGCTTCACAGCTGATTGGAGTGTACGATGAACATGTTCTAGTATCGAATTTCAAATTCGGTATTTTATACCAAAGATATGGCCAAACTACCGAGGAAGAACTGTTCAGCAACAATAACTCCTCGGCCGCTTTCGAGGAATTTCTGGATGTAATCGGCCAACGTATTAAACTTAAAGATCACAAAGGCTATAGAGGTGGATTGGACATACAAAATGGTCACACTGGAGATACTGCAATCTATGAAGTGTTCAAGGAACGTGAGATAATGTTCCATGTTTCCACCATGTTGCCATATACTGAGGGAGATCCACAACAGTTACAGCGTAAACGTCACATTGGCAATGATATAGTCGCGATCGTATTCCAAGAATCGAATACGCCTTTTTCGCCCGACATGATTGCCAGTCATTTCTTGCACGCCTTCATCGTAGTACAACCCTTGGAACCAAACACCCCCAATACACGTTACAAGGTCAGTGTGGCGGCTCGCGATGATGTACCCTTTTTCGGTCCCACCCTTCCTAATCCCGCAGTTTTCCGCAAGGGTCAGGAGTTTAAGGAGTTTCTTCTAACAAAACTAATCAATGCTGAGAACGCCTGCTACAAGGCCGAAAAGTTTGCTAAATTAGAGTTACGAACTCGTACGTCTCTTTTACAAAATCTGGTAGACGAATTAAAAGAGAAGACTAGAGAATTTCTGGGTGCCGATTTGGTTGGCCAAATGGCTGCCAGTCCCACGCCAGAAACCCCAAAAGCCGATAATACCACAGCGGGATCACGTTTTATTGATACAGTCAAGAAAGCCTTGATTTCGCGTGTACGCTCACAAAGTGTAGATACCAGTAATTTGGCGAGTGTTGAGAAATTCTGTGTTTCCACTAAAATGAATTCTTCCGCCACCAGCACGAATTCGAAGAAGGATACGAGTTTGACAGAGACGCCTAATTTAAATGTAAGTACATATTCTTTTAAACGGATTACTCTGTAAAATGTAAAATATAATTCTAAGAATATTTTATAATTATATTTGTTTTCTTCTTATTTTTAGACTTGTAGTCGCACTGCTTCCAAATCTTCTTCGAAGTCAAAATCTTCTAATGACTCAACTTCATCCTCACCCGACATCACTTCCCGAGGTCCCTTAAATAACGGCACGATGAATAACAACAATGGTCATTGTTCGCTTACAAATAACAGCAAAGATTTACAGAACGGAAACAATTCCAACAATGGTGGCACTACAACCAACTGCGGTGGTGCTGCCGCCACTATGTCCGAAACTAGTGATGACTCCAGTTTAAACAGTGTAGATCTGGATCCAATGATGGGCCATTTAGATGGCGGCGCTGCCTATATTGACAGCGATACTGGTTTGGAGTCCATGTCTTCGGCAGAGGCTACCACAAAGGCCTGCTCTTTGTGTTTGGATGGTTCACAGGGTATGATGGGTTCATCGCCCAGCAATGAAACTATGGTTATGATTGAGAATCTGAGACAGGAGGTGACCAGACTAAAATGTGACAAATTAGATTTGTTGAGACAGAATGTGGTAAGTTAAAAACGTCTTCTCAATAATAATATTCCAACATTTTCCTAACTGTTTTTTTTTCTATTTTTGCTTATAGACTTGCCAACGTGACATTAAACGTCTGCGTGAACGTGAACTTTCCCTACAAGGTGATTTGGCAGCAGCCGGTAAAGAAATATTACGCTTAAGAGATCTTCTCAAAGAATACATGCCCGATTTGGCAGCCTCGCCACTTTCGATTTCTCCCATTTAAACTGCAGTTGAAGACGAAATTCAAGTATCGGCTATGAAACAACGTAAACAACATCGACTATTTGAGGAGAGATTTCCAAATGTATTATTGCTAAACGAAAAGAAACAAATTTGCCAAGCAAATTCTACCAATTGTGCCGTGTAAAACACTTTGCAAACTAACAAACAAAAACAAAATGCTAAGCACAAAAACCAAAACCTTTAACAATCTGTGAATCCCGGGGGAAAATGTTATTTTTTTGAAAAAGATAAAAAGGAGACAAGAAACGTTTGACGAGCAACCACAACACAAAATGAAAACATTTTATTTATATTATTATTTTTATTTTTAATTAATTTTATTTAATACGTTATTAACATTAAACATTTAACATAATAAAATGTAATGTAATAAGTAAAGAAAACATACACCACACCAACACAAATATCTACACCAAAAATATAATTTAAGTTTTTAATTTAAACAACTACCGCAAAGAAAAATAAAATAAATTTATAAAATTTAAGAAATCATATGAGAAAAACAAACTCAAACCCTATACTCTTAAATTGGAAATAAAAGAATAAATGAAATCTCTCAGTTTAATGCAAATCAAGATATAAATTTATATAATTTTTGATAAAAGAAAAAAAAGTATTAGCGAAAAGTTATGTTGAAAATTATAGGAAAAAAAAATTATATAAATGGTAAAAAATTACATATAGATTCGTGAGGACTGCTTTTCAATAAAGTTTGCAAATTAAGATTTTTTTCAAAATTACTTGAGAATCTTGCAAGCCGTTAACTAAATCTGTTGTAAAAAAAGTAATTTAAAACAAGAGCTTGTTTTTAAAGTTGGAAGATAAAATGCTAAATCCACTAGTAACAGTATTTAACAATTATAAGAAAAAACATAATAAAATCGATAGCACTTAATTATTAATGCAAAAATATAAAGTTTAAACAAGTTTAAAACTAATGTAGAGAATTATATACCAAATAATAGAAATATATGAAATCATAACAACAATCTGTTTGTTTATTCAATACTATAATATACTATTATTATTATTTCTCAAAATTTCTTTTTAAACTCTGATTACAGTAAACTCTAACAAAAAGCCTTTAATATTTCTAAAGAACATACGTTTAGTAATAACTAAAACCGAACATATTTATCTTTTATACTAAAACATAAAAATACCAGCATAAATAATACCATTTATATAAAAATTTTAACCATCAATCTATTTCTTGTAATATTTAGTTCTAAACCCAAATCCTTTTGTATATATTTTTATAGAAGAAACAATCTTATGATTTGTTTTTTTTTTTTTAATTTAAACTACATTTATTTATACATATTTACTTATATATATTTTGTGAAAAAATGTTTTATTTCTAAAATCTTTATTATAAACATTGAATAGAAAACAAATCGTAATTAAGTTTAGTGCATATAATAAGGAGCAAGAATACATGTGTAAACATTACACCACATACATACATACATACATACAAATTATGCAAATAATCTCCATAATAAAACTTTCGTTAAAAATATTTTGTAATTTAATATGAGAAATGTTATGAAACAAATAAAATTTTGAAATATATTTACTATGAAATACAAAAAAAAATATTTATTAAATCGTAGTATTTTCTCAAAATTAAGAAAAAAGAAAGAACATTTAATACATTGATTGTTGTTTTCACAGTATCTTCTCAAATGCATATTAATTATACTCACAAAATTTAAATGAAAAATTAAGAAACGTAGAAAGTCACAAGTCTTCTTATTTTTTTCTATTGTTAATTTTGTTTGTTAATCATTCATCAATCAATTGAAATCGAATTATTTTCCAATTCGTTTGTTCTCCAAATGTTTTTATTTGCATTTAAATTATTAATTACAATTAAAAAGAAAAAGAAGTACAGGAACTGTTTTTTTGTTAAAACTTTTTTATATTCATATTTTTTATTATTATTAATTATTATGTAGTTTATAAGATTAGAGAGACATTAACATGTTAAGCATACATTATGTAGACGTACATACAAACTTATATACAAACCAGACAAAATATACAAACACATAGGTGTATATGATGTGGCAATTGTATACAAAACCAAAAGAAAATACATTTTCAAAATGCATGCAAAAATGAGGTAGAATAAAAAAGCCTACATACGAAAAATATTAAGCAAAATTATTCAACTCTTTTTTTATAGCAAGATGAAGTACATTATTCATAATGATGAAATATTAATAAAATCAAACAAATATAATAATTAATTGAAAACTAAAAGAAAACATTGTGTTATTTTATTTAATCATAAGGAACTAGACTATTTCAAAAACATTTTCGTTTTGAAAAAAGTGAATTTTTTAAGAATAATCTATTAAATATTCTGATAATGTTAGGAATACAGAACCAATTTAACAATTCGTCAATGACGAAAGGCATCCCTTTATATGCATATTGGTTTTTATGAATCGATACTTTTGTTATTTACTGCCAGTATTTACACATTTATTGAATTTGTACAGAATTGAGTTTCAGATTGATTTTCGGAATAGGGTCTTTAATTAGTCAGATGTAGACCGAACTCTACAGATTTTTAAATAGTGATTATTTTTGCCGAAATGTATTCGATTTATTAGTTATGAGTGTTAAAGTCATATTTTGAAGAGGAAGTTATATGGGTAAAATATTGCCCGAAATCCGCCATACAATATATTTTCCGGGAGCATAAAAAAAACTTATTTGTGCAAAATTGTATCACGATTGCTACCTAATTTACACATTAAGTATGTTAAGGGTTATTAGGGGTCACTAGGCGAATTCCTATACCGATATGACCTAATAAAGAATAATTGTGAAATATTTCTGCCCCTAGTTCATTCCGTTCGAACCATATTAGACTGACGGGCGGACATGGCTAGATTGTTATAGAATCTAATAGAGAAAATCAAAACTTTTATGGGTCTACGACCAATATTTCGATGTGTTTCAAACGGAATGGAAGAAAAACGTCTTTTAGGTGGTGGATATAAAAATAGTATTTTAAAATGATTAATTGAAACAAAAGACTTAAGACGCATACACGAAAAATTAAAACAAAAGATAAAAAATGGAAATAGGACTAATTTAATAGCGATGATAAATTGGCGTAAATGGTTTCACTTACTTTTTGGTAAAATTACTGATCTAATTGTTGAAATCATAACCTTTTATTTCATAAAATAAGGTTCCAAATTTTGGTGGGTCAACGCTAAAAGTTACTAGTTGTGTCCGCAAATATGTTGTCGAGTTTGTTCAATATTTCGATGGATTTAAATACTTTTATAAATTTGTCCATTATGAATTAAGATATATGCTCCTTAACATATATACATACATGAAACTTTCACTCAAATACCTCAAACATATATTTGCTATTTTGAATAACTTTGACTTATTTTCGACAAAAAAATATACTTATATAATAGCTGCAATTCTAACCATTCAATTGATCCAATTTTTTCGCAATAGGTCAATCATTTCTATAGTTATAAGCTTCCAAGCTTTGGTAGAACAACGCCAAAAACTGTCATTTGTGCCCTTGAAGAACATCCAAAAATTTTCTGTATACCTCGTTTGTTCTTTAAGATAATTTACTTAATATAATTTTATGTTTAAATAAAAAAGAAGTGCCTATTTCTTTTTTTTAATTAAAAAACCAATCGGGATGTTTTCAACAACTTTTTGACAAAATTAATTTACCAATATAATGTCAGAAATACTAACATCTTCGCGTTAAACATGATAATCATAGATCGTCACCTGAAGTGCAAAAAGGCGTAACAACCAAAAAATTGAAAATCGACTTTTTGATTGAAAATTGTCTACCGCATCAAAATACATGTTGTTGCAAATTTTTATAACACTATTGTCAAAAATACCGACTTTATCGAAATGAAATTTAAAAGTGCGTAACAACGAATTAGTCATTCCCACAAGTAAGAAAGTCCAACGTGTTTATCAATGTTGGGATACAATACTTTTAAGAAAATGTCGTTTTTATAACAAAAATAGCTTTCAAAAGTGTTGTATTTCAGATGACGAGATTCATAGTTTCCTGCTTAAAAATATGTTTTTAAGAACTTTTGAGAAAAATAGGTTTACTCAAATACTTAAAATTCGACAAAAACCAGAAACAACTTTCTACATTTTAAAACATTATTGCAAATTTTTCATTTTATACCAACCTGTTATGAGCGTTAATTTAAAACAATATTTTAATTTTTATGTTGTATATTTTAAACATCGATACATTTGTTGTTTTGCTTTTGTTTATATTACAATATTTAGCTAAATTAAAAAATATATTAAAAATAAATTCAATTTCATTATTGTATACAAAAATATTACAAATAAAAATAATTTTATTACAAAAAAATAATTAAATTAAACATAACAATATTTCTACATAATTATAAATCACAAGCAATCAATTAGTTAGTGAAGATGTTTGTCAATATAAATTAACAAATAATCTACTTAAAACAGAAACATACAGAGATAGAAGGAGAGAACTTATAGATTAATTATCGTCAATTAATGAACTTTTTAAGATTCTAGGACATAATATGAAGTTTATTTACTTATTATTCAAAATTAACAAAAACAAATTGAATTTTTTTAATTTTGTGTAAATAATTAAACGAAATTATGTTTCAAACGTATTTCGTTAATTATATCTGATGCTTTTTTCACTGAGCAATTAAATTGTTATTTATCTAACATTTGTATCTTTTTGTTTTTGTTTGTTGCTAAAAAACGTTTTGTTTTTACTTTATAATGTAAAATACCTAGACATGGAGGGTTGTTGAATTCTGTTTTATCGTTAAGGTTTTATAGTTAATTTATAACTAGATGCAATAATAACATTATTAATATAAATATTGAATACATTTAGAGACAGAGAGAAATAGTAAAATATCTAACATTATGTACTATATTTCATTCACATTGAGATAGAAAATTTGTTTGGTTTTCATGTACGAGTATG